ACTCCAAGTGGCATGCTCTAGTTATGGCTGTTGATTTCCCAAAAGCTATCAAATGCACCAGCAACAATTAATGGTATTGTAACGCAACTGTTCAGGCCCCACCGGGCGTATACAGAAACACACTTCGACGACAACTTCATCCACAGTCGTGCGGGGCACGCGAGGACAGATGAGGAAAACCACATCGTCCATTTGAGAGCGGTGCTCGAGCGCATGCACACATATAAGCTGTACGCTAATGCAGATAACGTGAAACTTTAGCGCCGAAGAAATTTCATTTTTATGTTGCCCCATTGGGAAGCGTGTCTCGAGCGGATTATGCTAAGGTCAAGGCCATTGTGGACTGGCCGGTCCCAAAGGCCTTGCGCAAGTGGCTTGGCCTCGCCAACTACTATAGAGTTAATTATGCGGAGATGGCACGGCTGTTGTCGAATTTCCGCAAGAAAGGATACGGAATAGTGTTGGGACATCGAGCATCAAGAAGCTTTTGTTTGAAAGATAGCCTCCTTGATGCATCAATACTGGTATTGCCAGACCCCGATCGTCCTTTTAGTGCCGTCTGTGACGCTTCGGACTTTGTCATCGGCTGTGCACCGCTGCAAGCAGACGCCGAGGAGCGAGATCGGGTGGTCGCGTTCGAACCTCGCCAGCTTCAGGCTGCGAAGCGGAACTACCCTGTTCACATCAAGGAATGACTTGCGATGAAGTAAGCGTTTTTAAATTCAGGGTGCACCTGCTTGGCTCATAGCCAATCAGGATCGTCATAGATCATGCGTCATTACTCACTGCGACTCCGTCGCCTCACCTCTCGCAGAGTATAGCCAGATGGCTCTCAATCGTCGCAGAATATAACTTCAAGGTGAAGAGTAAGCAAGGAAAGCAAAATGCTTTGCCTGATGCGTTGTCACGCAGACCAGATTATGAGCTTGCTCATATCACGACGGTGACGTCGTCAGTGACGGATTTGATCCGCGCCATATACGCGGGTAACGGTATGTGGGTAGCGCTGCTACAGGTCTTGGGAGCAAGAAGTTAAGAAACTCGGATAAGATGTTGTCGGTGCGACTGTGCGCACGTTTGTACAGATATTCGCTAATAGCGGCTTGCTGTATTTTAGCTCTAAGTCAGCGAATACGCCACGATTTGAAATTCCCCAAAAATGAGAATTCGAAGTACCGTATCCTCTATGAGGCCCGCGACACCCCACTCAGTGGTCATCGCGAACGTGAGAAGACGTACAGCTCTGTGAGTTGCCACTACTGGTGGTTTAAGATGGACAAATGGACGAGCACATATATGCGCATGTGTGAGATACGGCGACGCCGCTGGCTGATTTACCGGCACCCTCTGGGTGTCGGCAGTCCATGATTATGGACTTTGTGTTTGGCCTGCCGAAGGGCTCGGCGCGCAACACGGGCGTGGTGGTCTTCGTGGGCCGCTTGAGCAAGGTGACCCATCTTGCGGTAATGCCGGACACCATAGACGGTGTGGGTACATCGACGCCGTTAGTGTATCTTGTCTTTCGACAACATGGACTCCCGGAGTCAATTGTCGCTGATAAAGACCCACGATTCCCTGGGAATTTTGGTCGTCAATCTTCAAGGTGCTGACACCAAGTCAATACCGGAACATCCGCAAACTGAGCGCGTAAACCGCGTCGTTAAAGGCGGCTTTTGCAGCGTCTACGCTGAGACGCCGAAGCGCTGGACCGCCATGCCGCCACTCGCGGCGTTTTCTCTAGCTGATGCAGTACATTTATCTACCAGCTTCAAGCTGAACTACGTGAATGGAATGTAAATCCTCGCGTCCTGATGACGTCCCCATTCCCTGGTTCAGGGCTTGGTGGGGAGGAAAAGCCGACGGATAGCTGATATCCGCCTCTTCACCTTCCGCAAAGAAGTCGATGATCTTGTGTCCCATACTGAGTGTCCTACGGCACGTTCGGATGCGATGGCCGAAAGCCAAGTTATGCAGAAAGAATATGCAGACGGAAGAAGCGGAAGAAATGGTGAAAACATCGAGGTCGGATATACTGGTTTTAATAAATGCTAAGAACATTCTAATACATGCATTTTCCGCTGTCTTTTAGACGAAACTCTACTCAAAGTTTATCGGACGTTTTAAGGTCGCGGCCAAGCGAGGTCTTGCGTATACGCTGAACCTTCCGAAAAAGATGCATACTCACCCAGTGTTTTATCTGGGCTTGCTTAAGCCGTACCGAGATCCGGTGCAAGTGAGCGCAGAAGCGTTGGCGCTGCGGCGGCGCTCACAGGCGCTCGACCAACAAAAAGCTGGACCAGCAATTGCTTTTAAGCACGGAGTGCAACGATCTCCAATTGAACCTGACGCTCCACCGTCGCACAGTCGTCTGCTCAAGGCTGGAAGCCGCTCCGAAAGGGCACGATAATCCTCAATGTGAGGCAGCCGGCGCACAAAGTGCGCCGCGCTCTCGATGTCTTACGCACAGCGGTAGGTGACCTCGGAAAGATGTTCAGCGGGATGCCGATGACGACGGACTCTTTTATCTAAAGATCAAAGAGCATCTCGAGACACCGGATGGCATTCGACCAAGTCCTGATCAACCGCTAGCGACTCTTCTCGACAAGAACGGGTGCTCACTATTACGTGGAACGCCTTGTGGGTCGGCGTTGCCGACAGGGTCAAACACAATTTCTTGTGAAGTGGCGCTAATACCCAAACTTCGAGAACTCGCTTGAGTTTATGGTACCACTTCGGCAAGACTGCCCAGACGTCGTGGACGCTTATGATCAGAGGGATCATGACGCTCCGCGACATCGTACGCTTCGCGCTTCTCGGTAATAGCCCGGGAAGCCAATGGGCAATGAGTTGAGCTCAATCTATGGTCCTCATCTGTTGTGGTCGGAGACTCACCCGTGTGAGAAAGCACATAGCTTGTGGTAGCGTGATGGATTCATTCATACGTTGCAAGGCGGCAGAACGTAGGAAATTGGCGTTGCGCCTTGAATTTGGCAAACTTGAACCGAAGATGGCGTTCTATGCGCTCGTCCGCTTCCTTGTGACTCCGCTGTTAGTGAGACAGCAAGAAACATTTTTGGTGCCGCAGTACCCATCGCATAAAGAGCTCTTCCTTATCCGCTGCGGTTTCACCAGGGGCGAGTACCACAGGAATCGTTCGCATTGCGGGTACAGGAGCGCCTCATTTTGAGCGCAAGGTCGAGCACGGTACCTATCCATTGGAATTTTTTAGGAATCAAGATGCGAGCTCAGAGAGCTTTTCGTTGGTCAATCTCAGCTTGTGTAGCGGCCGAGGGCTTGACTACGTAGACGCCTAATGATCGAGTGATCGCGTCTTCCGCTTCAGTAGCGGTATCCGCCGAGCGGAAGAAGTACTTCACACGACGGTCTAGGACTGACCATAAATGCGAGTGCACCAAAGCCGCCCCTTTAACTGCTTCTCCAAGGCTTCGTCGAGGCGATCAATAATGATACTACTTCCTCCGGAAGTCGAGAATTTGGGAAAACGAACACGGTGTCCGCTGTGATCGAGCAAGGCTCACGTCGCGCCGTTGGCGCGCCTCAACCTCTTCGTCTTCCCATGCTGAGAAAGAAGTGTTTGACTCGCTAACGACTTCCTCCAAATCTTGGACGAGGAAATCCATCGTCCGAGGCAAACGCGGTGAGTGGCGCCATCGGTTGCCGAGGGCTTGATTCGTGATTCCCGCGAAGCCGCAATCGTACTGTCCGGAGTTGCACCGCGTGCAGGAGACGAAGAAGGGCTCTGCGCGGGAGCTCTCTTGGAACCAGCGAGGTTGGGTGCTTTTATGTGTCATAGACACAGGGCTCATCCAGCAGTGAATGCGTGAAGAAGGTATTAGGGACGTCAAAGTGTCTTAGACACGCGAGCGTTGTACGAGGCGACAGTAAAAATGTGAATTGTTGGTATTCAGAATTTTGATGGAAGAGAGCATAGCGGGGTTACACGTACCCTGGTATACCGGGGTGGGTTATCAAAGATGGTGTGATCACACAATGGTGTGGCTAGATCTAAACAAGAAACCATTACGTAGTTTTTTTGCCTTGAATTAAGATTTTGGGTACTCTTGGAGGTAACGGATTGCGATCCGCTACACTCATACTGGTTCTACTTTAGAACGTAAGGTTGGTGATTTTCAGTATCTTTTTTTAAGCAAAGAGCCCCGCTGCAGCTCTTGTTCTACTTATCGGATATTTATAATTGCATTAAGAGAGCAATACCCCTCCTAATGTAACATGTACTTCTAGGGGGGAAATACTGGCAATATAATAGGGACTGTCTGTTGTACCAGCGACGTTGGATAGTAATGCGGCTGGTTTGAGGCCTTATGGCCATAGTAATTGTCACTTCACCCTTTTCTCATCGTACATGTAAATCAACGGCTCGCTGGAAGTGAGCAACGCGTGCTGAGGCGTGTTATCTGATATAAATTCTCCTCAGAAAATGCATGTATACGGATGAGCAATTTCCGGTACACTTGGCAGCACTAGTAGTCAATTCAACGCTGAATACTTTAAAGGATTCATCTATGTATGATTTTGACAACACGCCCTCAGGTGAACAGGGATATGTGTTCGCTGCTAACACACTTGCAATGGGAGTGTGCATTCGTTAATCAAAAACCACGGGTCTTCGACATGCTATAATTAAATCAAAAGCGATTACTCAACACTTAGCAGATTTTGCTACATATGAACAAGAATGTTTTGGCTTTTATTTCAGAACATACCAACGCCGGCTCCGTCACCTCCACCACAAGTGGTGGTATCACCGTCGATACACACGGAACGTCCCGCGAAATTAAGATAAAAGGCTATCAAGGGAACGAAGATGTGAATCTTGCGTTTTGGCAGCGAGAAATCGACATCGCTATCGCTCTGGTCCAGATTCGTGATGACCGCAGTCAAGTGACCTTTGCAATGTCGCCCTTGGATGGCCGTGCGAAAGATTGGCCGATGACATGGCAAGTCAACTACTTTGCCACATGACAGGATTTGAAGAAGGCCATGAAATCGATGTTCCTTTTGCCGAACGTGGCATTTCTACAACGATCGAAGTTTTGCCATGCCGTCAAGACAACTGCGCAATGTACGACTATGCAGAGAAGCTCCGTGAGCTTTATGCCGTTATGGCAAGCGAATTACAGCCAGAGGCAGTGATGGTCACTGTATTAATGGAGGGACTCAGTTGTGGTTCTCTTAAGACTAAAGTTTTCCGCCAGGGCTCGACGACTCTGGAATATGCGATAATGTATCTAGTGCGTAAGGACTCATGTCATGTGGTTAATTCGTCATCACGAATAGAAGCAGTGACTGCTGCTACCGGAATTCCGGAACCAATAGGCTTTAAAGCGGTGACTGTCCGTGGGAAGTAAACTCGCTGTTACGGATGTCAACAATTCGGTCACATCCACCGTGATTGTCCACGAGAGAGACGAACCACTTAATAAGGTTCTTATCGTAATGTCCCCGAGTCACGTGGTATCAATACCACGAGGCGTTCGAGAAACACCGGAGCCTATTAAATGCAGGGTGGTCTATTGGGGCAGTTGTAACCTCCTGTGAGGATGGTTGTAAAATTATTCATGAGGGTTAAGCCTTTAAGTAATCGCTGATTCTCGCTGACGACACGAGTCGAAGTGGTCTCCTCGTGGTCGCAACGAGTGTGAAGGATTACGCGTCCGCTTTGAGTCTTGATTGACTCTTGCAAGTCGCGTAACTACGCGTGAAAGCAAAGTGATGCTGAAAATGGTTCAGTGCTTTCGGATGCACTAGATAGAAGCAATGGGTTTATTTCAGTAAAGTTGGCCGCTGGTGCGGTAGTCACCGCAATGACGATTATGATTGATCTTCTACTCAATTCGAAGGTATCTTCACACTCCTCGAACAAACGGCATCACCTGACTTTAGGCTGACCGTGCTTTTAGAAGCAGAATACACGAATTGTTTGTCAATCTAAACCGATTGGGAGCAGCTCTCCTGGCGTAAATGAAACCCTTGGCCCACATTCACTATGCACCAGAAAATGCGTTCAAGCGCTCGGCAGTCGTATACTGCTGCTAATGACCCACACTTCATTGGTATATGTCATGCAATTGGCATTCGTTGGGTTAGAGAAAAACGAAGTCGTACGGAGTGACCACTGGCGTTCACTCAGGAACTGTGTCGACAAATTAAGTTGTACCTTAAACCGGCCGCGTGAAAACGAATGGATCGTTGGTAGGCATGGAAAATGAAAATAAATAATGAGGGAGAGATGCTGGTTGTTGCATCCGTCAGGGAGGAATAACGTTGTCGATATGTGTGTACTGAAGAGTTGAAGGAATCGACTGCGGCTGTTTATGCCACTACTTCCACATATCCAGTGGTCGAGTCGGATTGTGGATCAGTGGGAATATCTGATTACAAATGTATTGCTCCTATGCTCCCGTTCTTCGTTAGTATATTTCGCAAAATTCGCTTGCAGTGAATGTTCACGCGTACATTTTAGCACCGCTCGGAGGTGCTCCAAGTGCATTTCTCCGGTAGATCAGCCATCTCTACTTCGAATGAACAAAAATATCGTCGAAATAGGTTTGTGCGAATCATCGCAGCGGTCAAAACAGGTTGGAGACCAATCGATTGAACTATGTTGGGGCAATGGATAGTCCTTGTGGCATCACAAGCCAATCCTATAGCACACCGGACGGTGTAGTAACCGCCGTCAAAGAGAATTCCTCTTCCCTCACCCAGTCCGGTGGATGATGACATCTTTTAGCGAAAAGGCGATTAATGGGGAATCGTCCGCGCGTTTAACTTGTTCTAGGCGTGAATAATTTGCCATATACCATTTATTTTTGCACTCGAAACCTATGCGCGCTGTGAGAGGATTTGCTCACCTCACCAAACCAGCAGCCTGATTTTAAATAAAGAGCTCATCGATGTTCTCACTTTGAACACCCACTGTGGAAACACCGCATAATCATAAAACCAGGCTCACGATCAATTTTTTATCGAATTCCACATTGGGATGGAAGGCCAAAAGACGGGTGACCGCTAAGGATGTCATCTTTGTATCTCATAACAGGTTAATAATTAGGATCGGTTGGATCCTCCAAAACAGCCGATCCTCTGCGTGACTCCACATAGACGTAAATTATACGTAAATGGTGGGTTCGTCTGTAGCAATACGACATCCGCAATACCATCACACTTTAGGTCGTGTAGGAAGTCATCGTAAGTGACTTCTTCGAGCTACACCAGCTCTTTCATCGCAGGTAACGGTCACAGAAGAACATCTGATCTGCCGTCTTTGCATCTACAATACGTGGACCAGCACATTCGCATGCTACATTCCCATTATGGGACTCACTACTCCACGGACTCAACAGAGCAGCGTATCAGTACCGCGATCAACACATTCCTTCACATGTATGTGCGACCACACAACGTACCTGTCCTCGATTGTTATGCTGGTGAACACGGCGTCAGTGCAGACACAAAGAAGGTCAAAGCAATCGTGAAGAGCCAGGGATTTGAAATAAAATGGATTGATTTGTCCGATTCCCTGCGTCGCTTCTCACGTAATAACGCAGAAATGGTACCCCGCTTTTAGCCCTAACCCATATGAGCTATTTTCGGAACGATGTGTTTGATATGATACGTCAAGCAAATGCTGGGGATGAACAAATCATCAAGGCACTTTGGTCGAGTCGTATGGAACTACAACACAAGCTTCCTGGTCGCTTGAGATCACGGATGCATCGTTATGCATTAAAGAATGGGATCCTGCACTATTAAGTTGCGTATGGCGACAATTCACGGATTATTGATCCCAACAAAAGTTCAAGGTCGTTGCGAGTCGCATGAAACGCCCTTTTGCCGATCACTTCGTGGTCGATCATAGGGCGGTCATTTTTGCGCAGTGTCTAGAGAAGAATGAAGTGCAGGCTCCAGGGTGATCTACATCTTAGTCAGGACGTGTAACGGGGTATTACTGTAATGTTGTCTACTTACACCTAGCAAACGTGGTACGTTACAGGTGTTCGAAATTAACATACCACTTTGGTGTGATTTCGTACAACTGTTCATGAGTATTCAAATAATCAGTATTTATGGAGGTGACGGAATCTCGTATAGGAAAGGTCCGCGATTAATCGTGTGCTGCTAGCCACACGTCAGAAAGTAAAGACAGTTTTGTTATAAGAAATATTAAGACGTCAATACTGTGCATCGGTCAGAAAATCCTCAACATGTACACTCCTGAAGTTGGAGAGCAAATGGCTCTAATTTCGATATATTCCGGCACAGGATGTCTTATCGAACTCGTGCTATGAATGGATATAACCCTAGATCCGGTCTTTGTATGCCCGAGATCAAGATACAAAAACTAAGATATATGTAACAGATTGATGCTGTCTGGTCACCTGTTGTGTTAGTTAAAAATTGTGATTTCACTTCTCCACGGGCGCAGCGCAAGAAAGCTTGTACAAGTCGCTGGTAGATATTAATTTCGAGAATTTGCACGATCAGGAGTTCAACATCAAGGATGCAACTCGTGAAATACCAGAAATATAAAATTTATGATATTTAAAGTAATTCTAACTGTAAGAAAAATTACCATATTAAGCTCGTGTTTAACTCATGCACTAAGCGTGGCGCCAGTTCAGCTTGGAAATTCTGCCACAAGCTCTGTGGATGAGACATTAATTTGACGAGTCCATTTTTTTCTTGCCTCATCTCTGCGGAACTCAGCAGATCGGTAGCTGTAAGGAAAGTTTTGACGGAGATAGCACGCATCCTCATACATCTCGTATATTTCTCTGTCTACTTTGAAGTTTGAAAGATTAGCTAGCTCGCTGCCAGTCAAAAATACAAGGCGAGATTAAGGCTACAGCAAAAAGAACAGTCAAATCAACATGACGTACGTAAAATAGTCCTTCTGCCGAACGCCCAATTGGTGAAGCTTCCTTGCGCCATTCTCAAGGGTGCCTACATAAGCAAAGAAGTCTGCGTACATATCTGCTTTCGAAGGGAGAAGAGAAGAATCACAGAACACGCGCGCGATCCATCGAGCCTGAAGTTGGAAGCAGAGGAATGGCAGATTGCTAAAAGGAAGCCCAACAAATGCAGCCGTAGGGTCCTCTATGGCAAACAACTGCTTGTAAACGGGAGCTACAGCCGATCCGTCTTCCGTACACTTAAGTAAATCTGCCATGATTTCATCGCTTAGACCATTTGGCCGAGGTGAGGCTTCAGGAAAGAGCAACTCGGATGGAAAGAAGTCCTTTACTGTGTACAGATATCCGGTGCAGTGCATTATTTCATCAGGCGAGGCAATAATCGATCCATCTATAAGCTCCACGGAACCATTTTCAGTGATATGACTAATGGCAGGCTTCATGAATCGACGGTCTTGCGAATCGATTTCATTTGAATTGAAGTCTAGCATCGTAACAAACACTTCTGCAGCGCCACATCTGGCTAGCTCAAGCGAGATGTCTTGGCCTGACGGTCCTCGCCCGATCACAACAACACGCTGCCTCATATTACTAATCAAAGTAGACAAATTTGCTCAATTACAAATTTCCCACCTTTCCTTGGTACGCCTCCGGTGTGCGGTACGATTTTGAATGAGTCACTTTGCCTCTGAAGTGCTCGATACCTTTAATGGATTGAGTAGACGGCCTCGAAAAATGTCCGTTGCAAATAACGACACGGTCAAATGTTTCCTCATAGTATCCCATTTCCACCGATAACACTTTTACATTCCACTTATTTGAACGCTTTGTAAGTTTCATCACCTCCGACTTGAAACGCACACAGCTGTCTACCTTAAAATGTTTCGAGTAATTTTGCACGTAGGACAGCACGTCTACATGAGATGGGAAACTGGGCACACCATTGTGAAACGGAAATTCCCCGAGCTGCATAATAGAGGTTGGAAGATTTGTGTGCAGAGACTTGTATATCACAGATGACGGGGCATCCGGGGACTTGTCGTACTTCCATAAACCTCCCACATAGTCTGCCTTTTCAAAAACGACCACTTCGTGCCCTAGATCGCGTAGGCACTTGGCCGTGACTAAAACATGATGGGCAAACCAGATAAAGTGTTATATAGTTGTAAATTTCATTCAATTATAACACGCCGACGCACTAATGCCAGCGGCGCCTCCGCCTATAATACCCACTTGTACTTTTTCCATCATTTAATTTCTTGAGGTTTGTGCACAAAGATGCAAGTACCAAATTATAGGTACCCGCTGTAATTAATAATATCGCTATCGTCAATTCTGTTTAATGTTTTCCGAATTAACTGAATACCAAATATGGCAGAGAAGGACGATGAAATGCTATCGGACCAGTCACCATTTCCACCGCTTCAGCTTACATATGAGGAACAGCTGCATTGTCACAATCTTACTTTGCAATTACTGGAGCGCACACTTCACAGCTACGACGAACGGCTTGCAGGCATTACGCCCCGCCACCATGCGAATCTTGATAGTGCTCGCTGGAAGCTGCAGAAGACGCAGAACAATGCGTCAATGTATTCAGAACGTATCCGACGTGTACGAAACGATTTGCAATTGCCAGAGGACAAATGGGACGATCCTATGGTGCTTATGATGGCTGGTACAATTTCTGCGCCCCTTGATGAGGTCATGCTTGGCGTTTCTATCCCTACATTTGAAGCATTTAAAGTCCGAGGAGCAACCCTTGGTAACCAAAATATTGGTGGTGCAATGCTTGCAAAACTGATGGGTTCGACTGAAGAAAAGCCATTTCAAAATTTGTCTGTTATGTACATGGTGAGTCAGCTGCCGTGGCTGATGAGCAAAGTAGTGAAACCTCGAGATTTTTTGCTTCTTTCGGCATCAGGAATTGTTGTCACGGCTGAAGGCGAACGGATAGGATACGATCTTTTGCAGCCCGCCCCATTGCCGCAGTGTCCACCCCTTCCAAAACCTATGATTCGCGGAAAATTCATGCTAGGTGCTCTGTATCGACAGAAAGTTGATGGCTGTGTGGATGTGTACATCCAACAGTACTTGGAAGCTAATGGTAATGTATTTGACTCGTTTGTCATGAATCAAACGTGGCACGCTCTTCTTGGGTTCTTTAAAATTTCAGTTCTCGCCGAACACAAGAAACTGCAATGGTGCATTGCCAACATGAAAATCTCACGGCGAGGCAGGCTAGCAAATGAACTTTATGGATACTCGAAGAATTGCTCGCTCTGTTCTTTGGCCTTCGGACGGGCTGCACGTAGCCGCGGTAGTGACCAACAGCGTTGCATACTTTGTCAAGCACCGGTGTGCTCGAATTGCCGTGAAGAGATTGTTCTTTGGGAGCTGAAACGACATCCTAGGAAACAACATCTGTTGGTCAAGAAACGGCGCCTGTTTACTTGTCACCCCTGTGAAGAGTTTGTTAAAAGGCATAAAGCGACAGATATTGCAAGGTTTAATGTCCATGAACAGCTTACTCCAGCCTCGGACTCTAATGGTGATAGTATTCAACATACGTGGGGAATTTTTCGCGGTGAGAAGATGCCTTCGTGGTCCCCGACGAGCTCATTATCAATATCTGATGAGTCGTTTGAGGTATTTCGCTGGAGTGCTGATCGCGATTAGCGATACTGTGTGTTGCGAATATTGCGGTCGATCAAGTAAACTAGTAAGGCGTTCTTATTATTACTCTTGCTATGGTCCCAATGTAAAATGGCATGACGTTCGGAGTCTTCTTCTCTGATTCATGCCTTCGTCCAGTAAATACACATATTTAATAAATGCGTTTCTACAACAATAATCAAACGAATCCCTACGCTTGATTTGATGGCACCATTAAGCCATTCATCAAGCTAATTGGCAAACTTGTCGTGTAGATCTTGTAAGGCCTTTAAGCACATCGTCACGTTAAACATCCGCACTTGTCACTCATACCTACGACCCAAAATAAAGTTTATTATATTAGCCCACCGCGCTCTGCCAGTGACGAGAGTATCTTTAACTATTGTTGGAGGCTACATGTTGAGTCCCATTTCAACGATTTTGGTAATAAAATTTGCCGGTATTCAAGTTAAAATCACATATGACGTCAATTTTGCACCCATTGTGTCGGCCTTCTATTGGCCCAGATGCATGAATACATAGTTCATCTAAGCACCATCTCATCTGACATCAATCAGCCGTGCAAATAGCGACATGAACAAGGTGTGGCTAAACTGCCACTGAAACCGTCAAGCCGTGCGGCCAAGCTGTAAACTTTTAGATAATACTGCATTTTTAATATTACGTCTTTGAATATTTAATAAGAAATTCTAGAACTCTTTTATGATATATTTTGAAAACTAGCTGTATCTGATAATTCACATTTGAACAGCTTTTGTTTGATTTAGATTAGAACTTATAGTTTTCGTACATATATTTTCAATTTGTACTCAGGAACAATGCACTCCTTCTTTTCAGAGCTTAACCTGTGCCAAGCTACCATTGGATAATTTATTTATTATTCTGTGCACTTTTTACGTGCACTTTTAATGAAGGTCAAGAAAAAATAGCAAGAGGTCGCTATTTTCTCATGAGATTTATATCTTATAACAAAAAATGCTATGTATTCTTTCTCGATATATACTGCCACTATTTTAGGTTTGCTTGATGAGCCTGTGTTGGGATTACACCACTGAATGCTTGTTGGACAGGCGGATGACGTCAGATGGTT